AATATTTTACTGGAAAAACTAATAGTACTACTCCAAAAACTAAAAAAGAAAAGCAAGAATTTAAAGAAAAACAAGAAGTTAAAGGTGCTGATGATGTAAGGTTAGTGTTTTTTTTATATATAAGATGTAAGTTTTTAAAAAATGAATGAAGACTTGGTGTCAAACCAAAACTGAAAAATGTTTCAGTTTTTGTTTGATATCAAGTCTTTAACTTTATTGATATGCTAAATTTAAACCTATTATGTAAAAAAGTGTGCTGTTTGCGGGCTGCATTATATATATATATGTGTATATATATATATATATATATATATATATATATATATATATATATATATATATATATCAGGTTCTTTGTTACCTAATAAACAATATATTGGCTTAACTTAGGGTGAATAGAAAAAACGTTTTGCCAACCATATGCAATCCTTTAAAAATTAAAAGTATTCTAAAGAGGTTATGCTGTCAAATTACATATGGAAATTGAAGGGTAAAGATATTGATGATTTTAAATTGAATTGTTCCATCCTTAAAACAGCACCTGCATATAATAGTATTTACATAAAGTGCATATTATGCCTACAAAAATATTTTGAAATAATTACACATGCAAACCAAGAATCTTTATTAAACAAAAAATTGGAATTGATTTCTAAATGCAGGCATGAAAATAAGTTTCTTGTGAAAAAATTATAAAAATAAGTGAGCTCAAAAAATAATTATATTAAATCCACCTTTAAAAGTTTATTAAAAAAAAAAAAGCAGAAGTAAACAGTTCTAAAGAATTCTTTTTTACAGTAGCTAAGATATTTATGACTTCCTGTAGTTTAGTTTTTGGTATTAATTGAAGTTTTATTAATAAAGCTAATATATATATATATAATATATATATTTTGCTTTAGTTAAAAACGTCATTATTCACTTTCACTAAAATTTAAAATAATAATTTATTTATATAATGAATTTTGAAATTTTTGTATCACTTTATTTTAGAGCTAACATGAGATACTTTTTGAAAACTTTTTTTTATTAATCTTAAGGACCCATTTATTGTTCGAGGGTCCATAGCAACCCTTAAAAAAAATTTTTATTCAAAAGTTTTTAAATCCAGTATTATTTTATTATATAAAATCTATAAAGGGGGTGCCAGCAGACATTTTCAAAAAATGGTTTTTTTAATCTCGCTAATGGATTTAGAATATCATGGATATTAACCTCTCTTTTCTAATAATATATTACCGAAACAAGTTATGTTTGTTTCAAAAACAAACATTAAAAAATAAGTTTGAAGATAAATAAACTTTTAAAAAACATTTTTTTAAAATGTTTAAAAATTTTTTTTTTCCTGATGTTAAAAAAAAAGGTTTCATCATTATACTTCCACTTAGGAGGTTAACAACTTACACAATTAGATTGGTTAACAACTTACACAATTAGATTGGGTTTTATCTTTGTTTTTGTCTGTAGTGTTAAAAAAAAAGTATATACTTTTTAATATGACTGCAGGCTTTCAAAAAATTTAAAATTGCACTTAAAGCTTTTCTACTTTTATTTAAAAAATACATCAAATGTTTATATCTGTTTATAACTTTTTTTTTTTAATTTAAAATTTATTTTAGTTAGATTTAGTATAATTTTTTTACTTTTTTTTTCAGTTTTAAATTTTTTTAAAAAAGAACACAATTGTATGGAAAACCTTTTTCAAAAATTATCTATATTTTTTATAATTTATATATTTTATTTAATTATATTAATTTATTTATAATATAGTTATAATTCAAGAAACCGTATAAAAAATTATCTTAAATATATTTTTATTCACTTTATTTATACAGTTGATAAAATAAAACTAACAAATATAAACTTGTTTTTTGTTTTTGTTTTTGTAACAAAGCTGTGACTATTAATACAGCTAGTGTGGTTTACATACTGAAACATTTGCAAAAATAAGTTGCTTTATTTATAATTCTTTTGTAGGTGTTTGTCAAGTTTGTTTTTAAACTGATTTAAGCAATGAAAATTTACTACTCCCACTTGTAGTTCATTCCATGTAGTTGCTGCTTTTTTTTTTATTATTTTATTTTAATTCACCTCCTCAAGGCCGAGAAGGCCACTACAGACGAGGAGGCTACTTATACGTGGCTATAACCCTCTCTCAACTCTATAACTCCGAAACACGAACCTTGACGAACAAGGCCGCTGCGCGGAGAAACGAGTTGAGCGCGGTACTACCAGGGACGTGGTGGTGATCGAACTCGGAACCACTCGTTTATGAAGCGAGTGCTCTACCACTACACCACTACCGCATATATGCTTGATTAGGGAGACCAGTTTGTCTAGAAGCACTTTTAATAAATTCAGCTTGGTATCTAAAGTTGTTTCTATGTGTCTGAATCTGATTTTTTTTATCTATATTTATTTGCTCTAAGAAATTGCATCCATCAATGTAAAGTTAGATATACATATTTTTTCAAAAAGGCCCATATATGCGGGGTTTTGCCAAATATGCTTGATTTGAAGGTCCACATTTGTATATATATTTAAATATATATGTATATATATATATATATATATATATATATATATATATATATATATATATATATATATATATATATGTATATATATATATATATATATATATATATATATATATATATATATATATATATATATATATATCAATAAAAACTGACCTTATCCAGTTAAATCAACATACTAAAGCAACGAGTTTAAAATGAATTTCCTTAGAATTAAAAATGGCATCGTGCTGCGGCAAGCACGATTTATTGTGCTGCGGTAAGCACGTTTTATGTTTTCACTCCTAAAAATAAACAAATTTCACCATGTTTTATTGTAACCAAATAGGATTTCTATTTTTCTCTTCAAAATCAGTTAATTTTTTTCATCTTTTTAGGTTTTTTTTGAATCGGCATTTTATCTAGTGAGTTTCCTTAGTAAATAAAATAATGCCGGCTATATTTTGTTAATATGGCTAAATAACTACACCATTATTTAGTCGTATTATTAAAATATATAGATATATATAATTATTTCAATAACTATTAATTTAAAGATTAATAGATTATAAATATTTGTAAATCTTCGCTAACGAAAAAAAATCTGTGCTATATGGAATACCCTGAGCCGTAGAGAAGTGATGAAAAATTATTTATAAAGTACAAGCTTTAGTACAAGAAGAAGTGCCAAGCGGGATTCTCGCATAGCCTCTGGGTCCAGCACCTCACTAAATATACACTATCTATTTTATTGATGATTTTAAAAATTTCTATTAAGTCACCTCTAAAATGTTAATAGTTGTGTTAAATCTAAACTTGAGTCTTTTTTCATATATCATGTTTTTAAGAGAAAGAATTAGTTGCTCGTCTCTGTACTTATTCCAATATAGATCTCCTTTAAGGTAAGGAGACCAGCAATACTGTATTGTTGTAAGATGTGGACAGACAGTTGTAGTATAAAAACTTTAAACATCCGTTTATCTATCTAAAGGTATACTTTATTATACCAAATGCTTGATTTACTTTAGACGCAGAGCCAATTGCATGTTATCAAGTTATTAAATTGTTATTATTAGAATCAAGTATGAAGTAATCTTATACAAGTAAACAAATTGTTTTTCATAATATTTCATAATGACACTTTTTACAGTTAATCTTGATAAGCTATTATTTTAACCATTCAAATGCCTTGATAAGGTATGGTAGATATTGATAAGATATGCCTTTATAAGGTATGGTAGGTATAGGCCTTGAATATAGGATGTAAGATAGGTATAATGCCTTGAAGAGCTGATATAGAGTTGTTGTTTAACTTAATTAACTTTTTGAATAATGTTGTTAGATAAACTGTAAAAAGGAAAGTGTGAAAAGGAAGTTCTAAATTTTCTGTAAAAAGATAAACTGTAAAAAGGAAAGTTCTAAATTTTATTAAAATAAACCTTTTGTATTGACATCAAATATTAACTACAAAAGACCAGGAGTTTTATTTAAAAAAGAGATAATCATAGAGGCAATTTTTGCAATTTTGTTTCAGAGAAACAAAATTGCCAAATTTTTGTTTATATATATCTAATTTTTAATTTTTTTCAATTGAGTTTTTAAGTCTTTAATTTAGACTAATTTATTTTAAAAATATATATATTAAAAAAAATTCTTTTTAGTTATACATAACTTCTTTTTTTTATATAAGTTGTTTACATACAACATTACATAAGAAAACATTCGCTTTGCTGTTTTTATTTTATTTAGAATTTAAATTAAACTTTTTGTTATGGAAACATTAGAAAAAGTTGTAATGCAAAACTCAATGAATTACACAAATCTTCAACTCACACTAGCGAAACTTTTGATGTAACATCATTTGTAGGTGTTACACCAAGCAAACTTTTTTATTTTGAGTTTTATTTTTGGTAGAACTTTATTTCTTTTTTTTTTAAAAAAAAGAAATAAAGTTATATATATATATATATATATATATATATATATATATATATATATATATATATATATATATATATATATATATATATATATATATATATATATATATTTGTGTACATACACATATACACACACTGAGCTGAGTACATACACATTACATTTGTGAGAAATACTTATATATGCTTAAATGCTTAAGGTTACATGATAAAAAAATACTTTATATGATAAATTACTCAAACACTCATGTTAAAAGATTTGTTAATTATAAAAACTTATTAAATAGATGCAATAAAATTAGTTTGTTTCAAATAAAGTTCATTTGTTTAGAGGAGGTTTAAAAGGAACACCTGTTGTTAAAAGTCGTGAAAACTTGTTGGATAATGATTTTAATTCTGCAACAAAAACACCGAAAAATTTAAAATCTCGAGAAGTAGGTAAAGTTTTTTATTTTTTTAATTTCTTGTGATGATTAAACAATAATGTTTATAAATCTATACACAGGTCATTGATGTAAGTGCAGAGTTGGAAAAGAGACAAGATGGAAAAGAGTTGATTAATTTGGTTGTTATAGGTATGTAATCATAAATAGTAATAATTTAAAACATAAATGAAAGAAGCAAATAGACTGAACTGCTATTATTATTAGTTTCAGATTCCCTGGAGTTCTAGCTTGGTTTCTTAGCTTAACATCTTGAAGTTTTTTTATTCATAAATGCTTTAAAAGTATTAACAGAAACTTTCACATTTTTTTTCAAGCCTCAACCAAAGTCAATATGACACAGCAACAACATGAATTCTAGTAGTAATGTTGTTGTTAACAGTTATGATAAACTTCTAAATATCGCTCAAAAAATTAACTTCATTGAAAAGATACAAGATTTTTATTAGGGATTGTAATCCTTTATTTTTGTATTACTATATTTTTGATCTTGAGATTTTGGGATTTACATTTACCTAGTCCCAGTACCTAGTCCTGGTACCTAGTCCTGATACCTAGTCCTGGTATCTAGTTCTGGAATCCCAAGATTGAACCTGGGATTTTTAAATACCTATTTTTGAAAGTTATTAGCTAGGTGTTATTAAAAAAAGTTATTAATATATTTATTTAAAAGATGTTGTTATTATAAAGTTAAAAATAAATTAATAATATGACACATTCAAATAAAGGTTATATAAAAACTATTTACTAAATTATAAGGGAATTTGTTGGCTTTATTTTACATATATAATTCTTAAATTATAAGAAGTTCATTATTTTGTATATAATAAACATTTTTTTAATTTATTTTTAAAATATGTGTTGAAGAAGCAGAGTTTATTTGTCTTAAGTTTAATTGCCAAATAATATATATTCATTGCAATGAGTTTGGCCACAGAAAAAAGTATATTTAAATTGTCTGAAAAAGTTCTATACTTAAAGGTTTAATAATCATTAAAAAACTTTCTGATTGCAAAAAATTGTTTTTCTGCCTTCGAAAACAGCATCTCTAATTGAATTTTTATGGAAATTATTACAAAAGTTTTTTTGTATCTTTTAAATTCATCTGAAATACTGAAATATAAGAGAGGAATTGATGTAGTCTTAAGAATCAGAATTTTTGAGATTTTTAAAACAGAAACTTTAAATTCAGACACATAAATTGACAATTTTAATTCAGACATATAAATTTAAATTCTGACTTTAAATTCACAAAAACACATGACTTTAAATTCAGACACATAAATTCAGACAAATAAATTATGTAACTGGATTTGTATTCTTGAGGAATTTACTAATTTGCAGCATTTTATTAAAGAATTTTTACTTTCAGATTTTGACTAAAAGTTGTTTCTACCAGAAAAATTTCTGTTTATTTATTATTACTTGTTATTACTTTTGTTAAATTTAAAGAATAAGATTAAAAAGTAGAAGAATGAAATAAAAATAAAGAAATAAAAAGTTTTGCTTTTTTTGATTTTTGTATACAATATCTAAATATTAATACTCCAGTTTTTTTTTTTTTTTAAATTCACCTTCTCAAGGCCGAGAAGGCCACTACAGACGAGGAGGCTACTTATTTGTGGTAACAACCCTCTCTAAACTCTATAACTCAGAAACGCGAACCTTGACGAACAAGGCCGCTGCCCGGAGAAACAAGTTGAGCGAGATACTGCCAGGGACGTGGTGGGAATCGAACTCGGAACCACTCGTTTATGAAGCAAGCTACCACTACACCACTACCATATTTAATGTTTAACGTCAAAGCATTTCTTATAATTAGTAATTTAATGGATATATGTTACTGTACATAGTTAATGTACATAGTGACAATTATAGTTGGCTAAAATAGAATCTTCTGTAATTGGCTATATTAAAAGTCTAATTTAATGCACTAAGTTACTGTTTAATGTGCCTAGTTACTGTTTTATGCTTAGTTACTGTTTAATGCTTAGTTACTGTTTAATGCGCTTAGTTACAATTTAAAAACTAAAAAACAGTTTGTTTTAAATTTAATAATTTTTCTTTTAATTTAATTAATTTGTGTGTATATATATATATATATATATATATATATATATATATATATATATATATATATATATATATGTATATATATATATATATATATATATATATATATATATATATATATATATATATATATATATATATATATATAGTTTATAGATTTTTTTTAGTTTGTTGTTGTATTATTGTTATTTCCTAAATGTAGTATTAGTAGTTTTAACAAATAAACGCTTGTTTGTTGTTAATTGAAGAAATTTAAATTAAAAAGAAAAGTTAATGTCTGGTTCAGTTTTATCTTAAGCCTGTTTTCAGAACATTTTAATAGGTTAAACTTTTAGTTGTTAACAAGTCAAGTTTTGTTTTGTTTTTCAAGCTATTGGAAGGTCATTACTTTTTAAAATCATTACTTTCTACTAATTACTATAACCTATTGAAAATGAGTTATGAATGAGTGTGATGTGTGGATCAAACCTGCTAAGATCCGTACTACGGGTCCAGATAACTAGTTTTAATAAATACTCAATCCCAGATTTTACAAACCATTCTATATCACCTCTCAAGTTAAAAATCTCTGTTATATAAAATATAACAGAGATTTATAACTGAAAATATAACAGTTAATTTGGAAGTTCAATATAAGTTATAATAGCAAAATTGTTATAAAATACAATGAAAATGTTATATAATTACACATTTCTTCTTAGGTCATGTTGATGCAGGGAAATCAACTTTAATGGGTCATCTACTATTCAAACTTGGGAAAGTTTCACAAAAAAGTATGCACAAGTAAGAATTTGAATTTTTTTTAAAACATAATAGTTATTACTATAAATGTGAACAACAAAGTTATCATTTGTTAAACAAAATCCAATATTTTGTGACTCCTCATTCAGCAAAGTTGCAACAGTTTGCTTGTTCCGTCATGCTCAAAAACTTTTATTTGTTTTTTATTTTTGTGTTTTTTTTTTTTAAATTCAATTCATAGATTTCACAATTTTTTAAGTCTTCTATCAACCACTTGCTTTTAAACTGTCTTCTCTTAAGTAAACTTGTCACATGTTATTATTTACTTGATTTGCAGCAAAGAAAGCCTAGACCCTTTATTTTGATGCTTTCGGAAAAAAATCTTATAGGTACTTGAAAACTGCAGGCTCCTTGTCAAAAGCCATAACAAATTGCATGACAAGGTCTTGATTGGATCTATCAGTAGCTAATAAATTGCTTGATGGGATCAGTAGCTTCTGCTTAATGTTACTATTTTTGACAATGAATTTAGTTTACCACTTTTTTTACTTCAACACCTGTGTTTTTACTTTACTTTACCGCCTTTACCTTACAAGGAAACACTTTACCAAGGTGTTTCTTTGTAAGGTTGAAACACTTTTACCAAGGTGTTTTCACTTTACAAGGCGCACTACCACCAGTGGTAGTGCTCCTTGGTGCCTCCTGTCCTAGAAGCAAAAGAAACGCCAAAATTTTGTGTTATTAGGAATGAAACAGTTTTTCAGATTTTTTTAAAAAAATTTCTGGTACCACAATGAAAATTATGGTACCACAATGAAAAGTAAATTAATATCTGATTTATTTAGACATTTACTATTGAACACTTTAATTATTAAAATTCTAGTTCATATACTACATCAACTTTCACATAAATAATAGTGCGCCTTCAAGTCAAAATTTTTCTTTAATGTTTTTTCATCCACTGCTTTTTTTAAAAATTTGTTTGTCATGCGGTTTTATTATGTAATGAATCCATGATTACTTCAAAAGTGTCATTTTTATCCTGTAAATATTCATTTCTATGCTGTTATTATGAAGATCTGTGCCAAATTTAAATTATTTTGATATAGTGTATTTGCATTAAATTTGGAGTATTGAACTAAAATATTTCTGCTATGTAAGACTTAAATGAACCAAAATTTATATGCAACCATGACCTACTTAAATACACGGCCGGACTTGTTGCTTACAAGTCTGATAATTAGTAGGCCAGTTTTTAGTCAAGTTCTTTATTTGCTCTAAGTGGTTCTCAAAAGAATTACAACTATTGTTATTAGAATAAAACAAACTTTCATTTTATCTTTTTACATTATTTATTTGTCTTATAAAATACCTAAAAAGTGCTGTGTAGTTGCTTGCAGAAGCGGTTACAAAAAGAAAAAAATGATGATACTGTACAGGGTTTTATTACTAAAACAGTATTTAATTTTCCCTCAGACATAAATTTATGCTCCCGGTGGATCAAGTTTATAAACAGAATTAACTGGAAACCATCTAAATTCTCAAGAATATGTATTGATCATTTCGAAGAAAAATTAATTAAACGAGGCAAAAGAAATACACTAGACTTTACAAAGAATCCTATTCCAACAATTCATACAAATAAAGCTTGTTTTTTAAAGCCATCTTTACTTCCTACACCTATAACTTTAAGAAAGACTCCTACAAAAAGACCTTATTCTCATTCATTGCTAGATGAAGCAGTAGTTTTTAACAAACTAGATAAGATTTGTTCAATCAATGACTTGACAGAACAAGTTTGTCCTCAAAATTTTTTATTTAAAAAAATGTATGGTGGCGTTATTTATTATCGTGTTATCATTGAAAATGTAACATCATCAACTTACACTGAAAGCATTAATGTTGATAACAATCTGCATATAAAATTGTACCATAAGGGAAATTTAATACCTCTTCCCCAGTGGTTTTGTCAAAACAATAAGTGTACACTAACAAGTGTCAGCATGTTAAAAAATTTAGTTTCTTATATAAAAAATCGGGTTGAACAAAAAGAAAAAAATATTTTAAGCGAACTTTATAGTTTTATGTATTATGAATCACATGGTAGAGAGTTATATAGTAATGAACTTATTCGATTTGCTATGGTTCTACAATGTACCTCTAGACAAGCCTGTAACTTGCTATTAGATGAATTTCCTTTTCCTTCATTTTCATATTTAAAAGCATTAACTCAAGAATCGAATCAGTTAAAGCATTAAAATATTTATTAAAAGAAGAAAAAAAGTTTTGTTAATTGATGAAATGTACGTGCAAAAAAGTGTTCAATATCATGGTGGTAAATTTGTTGGAAAAGATGAGAATGGAGAACTTTATTCAAGAGTTGTAGTTTTTATGTTAGTTGGTATTAAACGTTCTATACCTTTTGTTGTTAAAGCATTTTCTGAAACAAGTATTTCTGGAAATTGGTTGATGACTGAAATTGAAGAGTGTCTAACAAATCTTGATGCTAATTTTAAAATTTGTGCTATCATCACAGACAACCATTCAACTAATACACTTGCATTTAAAAAACTCATAAAAAAGTATAATTCTATGGAAAACTTTTTTTTTTATTATGGACAAAATAAAATTTATACATTATTTGATAGTGTACATATTTTAAAAAACATCAGAAATAATTTATTACATTCAAAGAGATTCATTTTTTCAAAAATCAATTTTGATAAATTTGAGGATTCAATTAATGTTGAAGCTGGAGATATTCATTGGCAGTTATTTCACCAAGTTAATGAAAAAGATAACTTACTGCCTGCTAATTTAAAGAAAGCTTACAAACTTACTCCAGCTGGTTTACATTCAGGAAAAAATAAACAAAGTGTTAAACTGGCTTTGCAAATTTTCCACGAGTCAACATATTCTGCCATCAAAAGTTATTTCCCGAAAGAGTTAAGTGATGCTAATTTTCTATATTTGATAAATACTTGGTGGACAATTTCAAATTCAAAGAATATATATAATACAAATAATAAAATAGGAAATGCTGTTGTTGCAAATGATCAAAAACCTGAATTTTTAAATGCTTTTGCTTAATATGTAAGTGAATGGTATAATACAAATTTACAGGGGTGTCACAAATTGTCACTTTCAGCTCAGACATCAAATGCACTAATAGTCACATTAGAATGGAACTGCATCTTTAATCAAAGATTTACTTTCAGAAGGATATGATTACATTTTAACCAGTAGATTTCAAACTGATCCTCTTAAAAAACATTTTGGGAAACTTAGGCAGATGAGTGGCGGAAGGTTTCTGGTTAGTTTGCCTGAAGTTGAAAGTTCTGAAAAAATAATTGACATAAAATCTCTAATTAAAGAAACTCTGGCATTGAATACATTTTTTAATAATGAAGTACCAGTCAATAATGATGCAAAATAACTTGAAACAGCTTTACTTCTATTACCAAATGAAATAGAAGAACTTGATTTATGTGAAAGTTCAAAGGAAGTTGTTATTCATGTTGCTGGGTATATAACAAAAAAAATTAAATCCAAATTTAAATGTTCTTTGTGTCAAGATCTTCTTCAAACTAACATTTTTTTCTAAAGCTAATTTATGGTGGCTAAGTTTGGCTTTTGTATTTTTTTGTTAAAACTAATTTATTTTTTGATAAGTTATGTTTTTCTATAGCTGTATTTTTTTGGCTTATATTTTTTTCTCAAGTTATATATTTTGTTGAAATATATTTGATATTTGAAATATATTTTTAGATATTAGTTTAACAAATAATAAATTATAAGTTTAATAAATTGTTAAAAATGGCCTACTATTTTTCGTACTTGTAAGCAACAAGTCCGGCCGTGTATTTAAGTAGGCCATGATGCAACTAGATGCCATGCAAAAAAAAAAAAAAAAAATTTGTTAAGTTGTATTTGTTTCAAATCTTAAAGTAACCTAGAAAGATATTTGTTTCAAATCTTAAAGTAACCTAGAAAGATATTTGTTTCAAATCTTAAAGTAACCTAGAAAAATATTTGTTTCAAATCTTTAAGTAACCTCACAGTTTGAAAATTTTGGGCCCTAATACCAAAAACAACTCCTATGAAAACCCTTTTGAGGGGTGTTAGTACATATGATAGGGGTCTCATAACAAGTAATTTTGAAATCAGGGATTACCGTCTGCAAGACTTATTTGGCTTTATTAGTATTATCTTGATGAAACGCTGTGACTTTTACTGTAAAAATTTTTCTGACACAAGTTTACACAACTTTTCTAAATATAACAAGTATCAAGAGGTTAAGAAAGTGTTACTTGATGGTATTTGGTGTATTTTAAAACACCAGTGTGATTTTTTTAAATTCTTATCACTAAAATAATGTCAACAAAATTACGGCGATTGTTTTCCGGGAAAGGGCTGCATAAATATCATAGTTTTAAAAAAAAATTTGTAGAATGTCCATCAAAAATGCCCAATGCAGCAAAAACCCATGAGGGTTGTCGAAAATCTGTGTGCATTATCTGCATGAAGAAAGGAGACGAAGTTCTGACAGACTTTTTAAAGCAAAGGATTCAGCGCCTCATCAAGAATGATCTGAGCTTCAATGACTGCAGAGTTCTTCTTGCCTCATGTCAGACATGTTGTTTTAAACTGAAAAAGCTTGAAGATGGGGATCCTAAGACGTGTAAACCAAGATTGTATAGGTTTGAAGACATCCAAATAAAACCGGCAACTCAAAGTTCAAACACCTGTGATTGTTTGATCTGCCAAATTGGGAGGCTCAAAGGTAAAGAAACTCACCCACTTGAGCAAAAAGACCAGCCTGCAACAACCAGTCAGCCACCTAAAAAGTTCAGAAAAATGTTGTACAAAATGTTTGTCTGTTCTCTCACGAGACCTTTCTCATCATTGCACAATTGGTTTACGCCATGAAAACTTGAAACAACTGGCATTGTCAGACCCTAAAGGAGCTGAACAAGTTGCATCTTCCATTGTTGCATCCAAGGAAGCATCTCCTGGAGGAACAATTCGACCGAGTGGGATGCATCTTCCAATCAGAAAAGGTAAAATGTATACTTACCACATTCTTCTTTAGAGAATGCTAATAGATTTCGTTTTTTTAGGTGGTGTTGTTGCTCAAGAGCTTTTTCCTTCCAGACTTTCAACAGGGGATATGGTTCAAATTCAACAGAATACAAGATTGTCTAACAACGGAATGAGGAAACTTGGATCGTTCATCAATCATATCAGCCCAACAAGATTAGTTGAACCAAACTTTCAAAAAATGTTTGCTGAGTCTGGACAAAAATTGCAGGACTTTTTTACTGTCAGCATTTTTTTACAGGACTTTTTTACTGTCAGCTTGAAGATTTCGGATTCTGGAGAAAACAGGGTTGTGGTTCATTGCAAAAGCATTAAGGACTTGAAAGACAGGATTGAAGAAGAAATTGGCTCCTTAAAGACTGCCTTTGCAAAGATAGGTATTGATGGAGGAGGGTCATTCTTAAAAGTGAGCATTGGAGTTATTGATGAGGAAGAAAACAACCTAGAGCCCCACAGTCCTGTCCAAAAATCTGCCAAACTCATAACACAAGTCTCAAAGCAAACTAGTGTGAAAAAGCAATTTCTTGTGTCTGTTGCTGATGACACTCCTATTGGAATGTGCAAGATATTTTTCGACTCATCAAGCTTCAAGAACTAATCCCATCAGAAGCTGCAGTAATTTCTTGCAATATGAAACTTGCAATCATTATTTGTGGCATCCAGTCTCATAGCAGCAAGCACCCTTGCTGTTGGTGTGATATTGAGTCTTCAAAGCTCCTTCTGTGTGGGAATCCCCGATCCTTTGGAGCTATAAGAGCTCAACATCAAAGCTTTGTGCAAAAATGGCCAAAGGCCACAGAATGGCCAACTTCATTGCACATCAAGATTCAGCCTTTTCACGGAGGGCACTTCAATGGCAATGACTGCATTAAGCTTCTGAGGAAAATTGACAAATTGGCTGAAATGGCTGAAAATGAGAGCACTTCTGAGCCATCTCAATTCATTCAGACATTTAAAAACTTTCACAAAGTTGTCTCTGCATGCTTTGGAAAAACTTTACATCCCAACTATGAGGAAAAAATCACCATCTTCAAAAACAGTTACATGAGTTTGGGAATCTCTGTTACTCCAAAGGTTCACACTTTTTTCCACCATGTGACACAGTTCATCAAGCTGAAAAAGAAAAGCCTTGGTCTATACAGTGAACAAGCCACTGAAGCACTGCATTCGGATTTTGGCAAGCATTGGGAGCGATACAAAAGATTGAACATCCAGACTACTCCAGTCAACTCCTGAAGTGTGTCATTGATTATAACAGCAAGAAAATGTAGCTTACTATGAGGCACTGACCATCAATGAACATGTTGCATTTTTGAGAATTTATTAGTTTATCTTTAGAATGTATTTATTTTGTAGTAAATAAATGTTTTAAGATGTATTTTTATCATTTGTTACCTTTTTACTTCATAATATGGTAATATAGGGCAGCCAAATATTTTTGGAATTTTGCAATTTTTCAGGTTTCGTAATTTAAAAGCAAAAACTTCAATGTTGAATAAGTCTTGCGGACGGTAATCCCGGATTTCAAAATTACTTGTTATGAGATCCCTATGATATGTACTAACACCCCTCAAAAGGGTTTTCATAGGAGTTGTTTTTGGTATAAGGGTCCAAAATTTTCAAACTGTGACCTAGAAAGATATTTGTTTTAAATCTTAAAGTGACCTAGAAAGATATTTGTTTTAAATCTTAAAGTGACCTAGAAAGATTTTTGTTTCAAATCTTAAAGTAACCTAGAAAGATATTTGTTTCAAATCTTAAAGTAACCTAGAAAGATATTTGTTTCAAATCTTAAAGTAACCTAAAAAGATATTTGTTTCAAATCTTAAAGTAACCTAGAAAGATATTTGTTTCAAATCTTAAAGTAACCTAGAAAGATATTTGTTTTAAATGTTAAAGTAACCTAATTAATTAAAGTTTAAAATCTAACCTACAAAGCAAGACTGAAAGATTACTCTTTTAACATAACAACTATTTAATGTAAATGTCATGCTGCTCTTACTATTTGATTTAGTTTTTAAAAAGATTGAAAAAATTTCAATCATTTTTCCTTGATTGTAGCATATAAATTATGTTTGATTGTATCCAGTGATTGATTGTATCCAGTGATTGGTTGTATCCTGTGGTGCTACTAATAGTTCCATCCCATTTAATATTTTTAATATATTCTAATAATTTTTTTTTCTCATTGGTATAAGTCTCTATAACAAACTGTCTCATCTATAAATGTTTATCTTTTTGTTAATTGGTATTAAAATATTTGTATTTAAATTAAATTTGTGTTAAAACAACTTTTTTAGAAATGAGATGGAGTCTAAAAAGTTAGGAAAAGGATCATTTGCATTTGCATGGGTCCTCGATGAAACAGAAGAAGAGCGGGCTCGGTTATTTATTTTTACCTTTTTAATTGTTATAACTTTTATTTATTTATTTTCTTTCTATCATTTATTTTTAATATCAGGTAATAATAAAAATGTTTTTGAAATAGCATATTAATTTAGATAAAATTATAAAATCCAATACAAAACAATTATAAATGAAGGTGCAGTTTAAATAATTAGATTGATTAAATATTGTTTTTTCTGACATCATCTATTGATGATATCATCAGTATAACAATTTTAAATAAATTAGCGTAGATTAAAATTAAGAAATTAGATATATTAGGTAGATTAAATAATTTTAATTGCTTTTTTTTTGTTTTTTATTTATAAAACCTAAAAAAAATGTAAGTTTATAGTTTTGAAAACTATTATTTACAGTGGTATTACAATGGATGTTGCCATGACAGTATTTGAAACAAAAACAAAAATAGTTACATTAATGGACGCACCTGGTCATCGGGATTTTATTCCAAATATGATACAAGGAACATCACAGGTTTTAATTATTTAAAATTCTTTTAACAGCATTTTTTTATTACTAGTATTGTCTTTGCACAAAATGTTTTCATATTTATAGGCTGATGTAGCTATTCTTGTAATTGATGCACGACCAGGCGAGTTTGAATCTGGATTTGATGCTGGAGGCCAGACAAGAGAACATGCTGTTCTTGCTCGATCTCTTGGCGTTGGTCAACTTATAGTTGCAATCAACAAAATGGATGCTGTATGGTTTTTTACTACCTCATAAAATTTGCTGTTTACTTTAGGTGTGACATAGTTGTAGCTTTTTTTTTTAGGTAAACTGGTCAAAAGACCGTTATGACAATATTGTTTTGAAGTTGAAGACATTTCTTTTGAAGCAAGCTGGTTTTCGAGTATAAAATTTAACTAAAGATCAAAACTTAAAATTTTTTGGTGTTGTCACGTGTAATATAACAACTCAAGCAAATTTGTTTCATTATGTGTAGCAGCACTACAAGTTTTTCTGTTATATTATGTGTAGCAGCACTACAAATTTGTCAGTGTTATATTATGTGTAGCAGCACTACAAATTTGTCAGTGTTATATTATGTGTAGCAGCACTACAAGTTTGTCTGTGCTATATTAGTGTAATAGCACAAATTTCTTTGTGTTACATTATGTTTAACAACATAAACTTACTTGTTACATTAGAATAACAAATAAGTTTGTGTTGTTACTAAAATCATTAGTGTTGTACTTTATTTTAATATTATTGATTTTCATATATATTTTTTATTTATTTAACTAAATTAGTATTTTTTTTCAATACTGTATTTATATCTCTGAGGTTAAAGGGGGCAAATACAGTCAACTTGTCTACCTTAATTTTAGATTTTGTTACAACCATCTTAAAACCCTTAAGGGCCAAAATACAAGTTGCAAGAAGTGTTTACTTTGTTAACAAAACTTCTTGTTTACAAAGCAAGTGCTCTATCACTACACCACAACTGCTTTATGTTTTATAAATAATATATGTACTATATTTATAAATAATATAATGTATGTACATATATGTTTGATGATTACATACTTTTTTTGAAGAGTTGTATGAATATTTACCTCACAGGAATCAGATGTTTGTTATATTCCGTGTAGTGGCTTGAGTGGGGAGAACCTTGTAAGTAATGCCAGTGAAAAAGATCTTATAAAATGGTATAAAGATGGATGCATTGTAGATTTAATAGGTTTCATTACTTTTTTCATTTGTTTAGTTATTTTTTTAGTTAAAAAAAAAAAAAATAATAATAATAAGTTTATAAATGACTTATCTTTAGATAGCTTCTTTCGTGCTCCTAAAAGAGCTATTGATAGACCTTTTCGACTTTGCATTTCAGATGTGTATAAAGGTTTACTTAAATTTTTTTTTTTTTTTTTTTGTTCTAATACTTTTAGCTTTCATCAACTTTATGATGAGATTACACTTAAGCATATTATTTCAATTCATAATCTCTGTATAAAGGTTCTTAAATTTCGATGTTTTGTTAAGTCTCTTAAATGTTTTTACTTTTTCTTATATTGCTCTAAAATTTTTAATTTTTTAAAGTTAGTGTGCAACGTGTGAAATCAGCATAAACAATTAAAGTTTTTGTTTTGTCTGCCTTTATTTCTTTGTGTCTTGAGCTAACTTTTAGCACATATTTTATTTGTAACCATTTGAAAACTTTTCAAAGCTTATTTGATTATCACAAATAAGTTATAAAATATAAAGATACTTTTGATAGTTAAAACCATTTTTATAAATTGTTTGCAACAAAATAATAAATGAACTTAATTAAAGCTTGTTTTTTTCAAAGTTGGTAATTCTGTTCTGTGTTTTACCATTTCATTTTACAGCAAAATGTTATACCAAAAATTTATAGTTCAAATTTCGTTATAGAATTTCTTATAATTTATTTTATATTATATTCTAAATGTTAAAGTTAAAGGGGCTAAAAATTTACTAATTTTTTTTTTTAATTTTTGCTATTCTCTTTCATCCCTGTTACTTCAAAAGCTCTGTGAAACACCCCTTTCTCTGTAAAACACCCCTGATGAACAGAGCTGTCTCACTGTTTCACTTTATTCAACAAGTTGAATAAAGTACTACAACCTCATGACTCAATCTATGTCAATTAACATGTTTACTTTTTGTCTAAACAGTTTTGATTATTTTTTTTTTTGCATTACTTGAAGCTGGAATGTTATCAACAAGGTTTGCTATATATTTAAAGAATGTTGATTGTTGCAACTGAATTAGTTTGTTTGAAAATCTACTCTTATTTCAGTAAATACTAGGGCCATTAGTTATCTACTAGGGCCATTAGTTATCTACTATATGTTTGGGTAATCAAAGTTGCTTAAAGCTATTTCTTGACATTTTGAGTTTTATTTTAGTTGAATTGAAATATTGTGCAATAAAGTGCTAAGTTTGTGTAATAAAATGTTTTTAAAAAAATTTTGTTATTAAATTTAATTTAATATTAGACTAAAATCCCTTTAATTTAAAAAGATTTTAATTTAAATTTTAATTATTGTAATGTAAAATATATTTTGGCAACAAATTTATTTAAGAGTTAAAAATTATTAATTTACTTATACAAGAACTTTTTAGTTTTGGTTTTTAATAACAAATTGAAAAATATTTTTTAAAATTTAATTTTACCAAATTATCTAATCTATGTAATGTAAGATCATGATGGTGCCGGAAATGTTTTTAAGAAGAGGTTTATGTTGTTTCATTTTCATCAGTTTAAGTTTAAGGAACTTTGGGCTGGTTTAAAAATTAAATCTATCTTTTAAGACATATTTATTATTTAAGACATTATTTTAATAAACTTTGTTTTCAGGTTATTGCCTATTTTTTGGTTAAGTTTTTTTGGTCAAAATGATTAGTTTATATTTATTTTCTTACTGTTACACATAGGCCAAGGCTCATTTATTGTGGCTGGAAAAGTTGAAAGTGGCTCTGTACAGAATGGGGATAAAATAATGTTGATGCCAGCTGCTGATGCTGGTATGATTAAAGGTATATTAAATTTAGATGTAGTTGATTGTTTTTCTTATAGCTTTTTATAAATAGTAAAACTGGATCTTTTTGACTCATGGATTTTTACTTGTGCCTTTTTTATAGTGACTATGCAAGTTTTTTATAGTGACTATGCAAGTTTTTTATAGTGACTATGCAAGTTTTTTATAGTGACTATGCAAGTTTTTTATAGTGACTATGCAAGTTTTTTATAGTGACTATGCAAGTTTTTTATGTTATCTCCTAATGAGAGCTCTAAAACTCAGTTTAATGGTTCTTAGGCCAAAATTTAACAAATCACATGCTTAACTTGGGCATATACTTCTGTATCAGTTTACCTATTTGTTAAGAAATTAGGTTTGAACCCTTTGACCAAAGTAAATTATAAAAAGTCCCCATCGATTTAACATCTACAAAAAAAGTTATTCAAGGTAAAGAATAAAAACTTTTGTCGCTTTGATAGTGCATTTTATGATCTACTGAAAAAAAAAAAGTTTCTGCGCCTTTCTTCTTTTCTTTCTTCTAATCTTGGATTAAAACAACAAAATAATGCCAAGTTTTAGGTTTTTTGTTGTTGTTGTTGTTGTTTTATAAGAACCTAATTTTAATAAAATGTAATTTACTTTAGAACAACTGTTCTAAAGTAAATTACATTTTATTAAAATTAGGTTCTTATAATTGTGATATATTAAAAAAAATGTAAGAGTATTAATTTGTTATAATTTTTATTTATTAATTTTTTTAAATATAATTTTTCCTTAAAGCGGTTTTTATGAACCCTGTTATGAATATATAAAAATAATTCACTTTATTTGGTTATACTCATTATTTTGCAAGATTTTTTAAACTAAATTTTCTTTTTTAAAATAAGTTAAAAAATCTAAAAATATTTCATCACGTTTTACCAAATTAAGTTTGCCTTAAACAATATTTTGTCTGGCTTTTGCAGTTAATACGTTTGGTTATTGTTAAATATTTCTCATAATGATTTGTACTACTTAATAATTTTTTGCAAATGTCGCAATTATATTTTATTTGTATTAAACTTTTAACAACAAGTGAAACAGTTCTTGTTGATTGTGGAATGAAGACTTTGATTCTATTGTTAGAAATGACGGGCTCCTTGAGTAGCTACAAGGCCAGACGTTTGTGACAATTCATGTGCAATGCTGTAAAGTGTATATTCGGAAGAGTGCTATTGCGGCATTTAAAAAACAGCAACAAATGGATCAAGCTAGTATATCCAACATTAGTCCACCTCGTACCAGAGCTTGCATGAGTCAATCCAATTTTTGTTTTATAAAATGTTGTTTATTTTGTGGCGATAAAGCGAATGAAGAGGCTAAAAAAAAGAAAGCGCAAAATATTCTGTGTAAAATTTATAGTTGTTACCCTTGAATTCAATGAATGTTCGGAGTCGGTCTGATTAGGAAATAAAAAATGTTACTGCACGCATTGAGTATGAATATGATTTAGTTGCTGCTGAGGGTAGATACCATAATACTTATTAAAATTGGTCATCCTTAAGATGAATTTACAAATGGTTTGATCAAAGAAATATTTAGATACATTGAAAATAGTGATGATTGTCAGTTTTTTTGCAAAAATCCATTTAGATAAAAGAACAATTAAAATACGAATGAAATTCAAGTTAGTAATAAAATTGTTATCACTGAAAAAACGGGCAGACCAATTTTCATTTGTTTTTTGACAATCAGTGCAATAGTCTTAACCTAGCTATGACAAAAGTAGCTAGGTAGCTAGGTATGAGAAAATAAAGGAGAAGAATGATTTCGAATTTTAAAAACTGCGGCAATAATCATTTGAAGTCTAAGTCTTTGATAATTGGTATAAAGGATAAGGGGTAATCAAACAATGTTTAAAGAAATTACCAGCAATATTCCGGAATTAAAGTCTTTTGTTTTGGAACAAGTAATTCTTAAATCGAAATTACAAGTAGGTTTCTCAGTATTTCTTCATTGACGATTTGGTTCAAAATGCTTTATACAAATCTTTTCAGCTTTTGGTTTAAGCGCATTCTACAATGATACTGTGATGTATGAGGTGTTATTAGTTCTTCATCATTCACCATTTCTTACCAATCATGCCACCACAAACTGGCACATTTATTTAATGTTGCAGACGAACGCTAATATGAATGTAAAGACTTTAAGGCTTGAAGACTTGAAAATTTCATTTACACAAGAAGATCAAATACCACTTATAGATCTTGTTACTAATGATGAGATAGTTACAGATCTTAATATTACCACTGAAAATATCATAAATAATATGATTTTATATGATGATATCAAAAGTCGTGACAATAATGAAATATGTAAAGAATTACTTTATCAGTTCAATGAAAAACTAAATAAAATTGAAAAACGGACACCTACAGCAAAACTATAGATACAATATTTTAAAATGGTGTCAATTGTAAAGAGGTTTATAAGAACTTAACACATGGGAGATAGGTAAGCTTGTTTGAAGAGCATCTTCTTGCTCTATATGGAGCTCCAAAAAAATTGTTTTTATAGACAAGTATAGATATAAGTTATGTAAAGAATTCATGGAACAATAAAAGAGTTTAATGTAACTAATGATTTCTCTTAGTATCTGCTTCTGCTAGTTAACACTTATATCCAGTTGATAGTCCAACTATCAAGTTGAAGTATGGATAGACAATCAACTGGAACAAGTAGACTAGGTTTGGAAATTAGTAGGTAATACATAATAGCCAATTCAACTCCCACCTGCTCCGGAAATACTTCTCAACACTATCTTTTGCAATTGTAAAAAGGGCTGTGCAAACTTTTGCTGCAAAATAGTCGGGTTATTGCGTTCACCAGTATGTACTAATTGTCAAGACCAATCTTGCTTCAATGTTGAATCAATTTCAACAAATAAAGATTTTGATTGTATTATTGATTAGACAGCTTATACATCTTTTTTACACCTGCAACTAGAATAATAATAAGAAGAAGTAGAAGATGGAGAAGATGAAGAAGAAGAAAAAAGCAAAGAAGGTGTAGTGTACTAATATATATATATATATATATATATATATATATATATATATATATATATATATATATATATATATATATATATATATATATATATATATATATATATATATATATATATATGTATATATATATATATATATATATATATATATATATATATATATATAAAATAGTATATAGAATAATACTAATATATATTTAAAACATAATGTACAAATTATATTGAATAAGACTTCTTCAATTTTAAAATTTCCATCATCTTGGAAATAGTAATTCTAAGAAAAAAAAATTAAGACAATTTTTGCAGATAATTTCATGCTCTAAAATTTTCGCTTGACCTATTTTTTTTTTTAATGATAAAACTTACTGTTTACCGGAAAAATATAAAAAACCATTTTTTTCAACCTTTGACTTTATATAACTTTTTTTGCAGATGCAGGATCGGTGGGACTTTTAATATTTTTTTTGTAATAATGTCCCCGAGGTCTGTACCAAATTTCAGCTCTATGTGAATTATTGTAAACTGAAATGTCTATTTTGACCAGACTATAACCACTAAGTTGGGATTTAACAGTAAGCAATAAAGAAAGTTAAATAATATAGATAATATAGATAAAGATAGATAAAAAAAGTTAAAGTTAGAGGGTGTTCAAACTTGATTTCGACAACAATCTTTTTATTTGACAGCAAATAGTGAATTGAGAGTTAAGTATATGCCCAAGTAAAACACATGGCTATTGGAGTCTTTGCAAATCAAACAATAATATACTTTAACTTTGAGATCCGAAAATGAAACTGCCAAGTTTAAATTAGTTTCACAAAAAGCAAGTAGGTATGGTGAATTTTCAATGAGTCAACAGATGAGAAGTTATTTCAAAGACCACAAATATTTGTAAAGGATAAACTGAAATAGTTTTACGGGTTTTTTTTGTTTAAATATTTTTATTTACTTTAATCATGTCAATCAAGTTAATAGAAAACCTGGTTCCTATGACAACCTAAGATAATAACGACCTAAGCAATAAGTTATTTTATTATGATAAAATAAACAGTGTTATGTGCATGAAGGGCTGCTGCCCTTCATGCACATAACACTGTTTATTTTATCTCTGAATTCTTACAATTTTTAATGGAATCCGCTTCTCTAATTGCTACCACAGAGTTTAGGAAACCTTATTGTCATAAATATCTATGTATGTATTTATATATCTGTCATAAATATTTAAACCATTAAATATAGTTTTAAACCTTTACAAAATAAGAAAATATCTACATACATACATACATACATACATACATACATACATACATACATACATACATACATACATATTTACATACATACATACATACATACATACATACATACATACATACATACATACATACATACATACATACATACATACATACATACATACATACATACATATTTACATACATACATACATACATACATACATACATACATACATACATACATACATACATACATACATACATACATATTTACATACATACATACATACATACATACATACATACATACATACATATTTACATACATACATACATACATACATACATACATACATATTTACATACATACATACATACATACATACATATATACATACATACATACATACATACATGCATCCATACATACATACATACATACATACATACATACATACATACATACATACATACATGCATCCATACATACATACATACATGCATACATGCATACATACATGCATACATACATACATACATACATACATACATACATACATACATACATGCATACATACATACATACATACATACATACATACATACATACATACATACATATTTACATACATACATACATACATACATACATACATACATACATACATACATACATACATACATACATACATACATACATACATACATACATATTTACATACATACATACATACATACATACATACATACATACATACATACATACATACATACATACATACATACATATGTGAGTTTTATTTGTTGTCTTTTATGAACTACATTTGTGAGAATTACATTTGTAAATCAAGGGAAAATTCAGGAAAAATGAAATCGAAAATTGTCTGGCTGCCTTGATCTACTTTAATTTTCTGATTATAGTTTTTTTTCTTATTGAAAGATTTTAACAGCTATTAAACTTTAAAAACACATTGTCAAAGATATTAAGTAAAAACTTTTCTATCAAACATTGTCAAATTAAGTAAAAACTTTTCTCATTTTTGATCAGATTTTGATCTATTAAGTTTTTTTCTTCACCAAGTTAATAGTTTTTTTTTTCAAAATTTAAATTTAATGAATGAATTTTAATTAATTATATATTATATGGGTATTGCATCCGATATCATCACAAAATCTATAACAATTGCTAAGTTTAAATTTGTTTTGTTTTAACAAACATGTCGCTAAAAGGTAAAATGCCAGATGACACGTAAATAGCGTTTTAGTCAAGTTAAAAGCTAAGTTAGTCCAGTATCTAAAATAGTTAGCGCATAATTTTTGTTGCTCCTTATATGCAATGCAAACTATCTTTGCTAGTTAACAATGAGCTTACTGTTTGTATTTATCTATATAACCAAATATATACACTACTGCGTCTTTTTTTTTGTTTTTTTGTTAATCACCTCCTCAAGGCCGAGAAGGCCACTACAGACGAGGAGGCTACTTAATAGTGGTTATAACCCTTTCTCAACTCTATATATCCAAAACACGAACCTTGACGAACAAGGCCACTGTGCTGAGAAACAAGTTGAGCACGGTACTACCAGGGACGTGGTGGGGATCGAACTTGGAACTTCTCGCTTATGAAGTGAGTGTTTTACCACTACACCACTACCGCGTATGATATTACTTTTAAATTTAAGTTCAGCATCACACATGCTTCCACACTGTGCATTGTAACATTATTGATTATTGATGTTGCTTGCCAATATCTTAACAGTAGCTGCTACTTTTAAATTTAAGTTCAGCATCACACATGCTTCCACACTGTGCATTGTAACATTATTGATTGTTGATGTTGCTTGCCAATATCATATGAAACTGTCATTTATTTAAGTGACTTAAAAGAATGTTCATATGCGAAGAGATGTGAAATGAAAGTTAGCAAATGTGAGTCCAGTTTACTATTGTTTAACAACTATGAGCAAATGAAAAAAAAGTAACAACTATAAGCAGAACTAGTGTAGCAAGTAGTGTACCATTAACGTCATATCATCTTTTTTTAGGTCATTTTTACAGGCTTGCCACTCAACCTGGGTAACCTGAAAATAGCATGAATCCCAGGAAAAATCTGGAAAAATTAGGGATTTTTATTATTATTATTATTTTAATATTCAGGGAATATCCAGGAAATATATATATATATATATATTTTTTTTTTCCACTTTTGTAAAATAATTTTTTATTAAATTATTAACAATAATTTAAGTTATGATAAAAAAATCATAATATATATTATCAGTAATTTTTTATAAGATTGTACATTTGATATTAATTTTACATGGTTTGATTATTTTCAATATTAAATTTGAATTTACATTTTATATTTATTATATAGCATTATTATTTTGTCGCTTATTCATTATTTTATAGTTATTAACTGTTAATTTAACTGTTAGTCATGGTCAAGCTTTTGTTTTGGTTTCAGCATAAACAAAACAATTCTAAATAAAAATATTCAGTTTAACTCAATAGTCAGTACATTTTACTCACACAGATCCAATTTATCAGAAATAAAACCAAATTTCTTAATTAGTTTAGTCTAAGTTTTTGATATTTATAATAAATCATTTTTTTGTACTTTTCTGTTGCTTTGGCTTTAAAAACTTCAGCTGCATTTAGCAGGACAATAGATTTGAGCTAATTAATATAAATATAGTTATATTTATACGTGTTTTTTTTTTTAAGTTAAAGTTTTTGAGCTTTAATCATGTTCACTACTAAAAAATAATAAGATGTGAAAATATTAAAGTATTTATCTAGGATTATCAACACGTGATGAACCAGTAAACTTTGTTGCTGCTGGTGATCATGTAACTGCTTCAATACATGGAGTTGATATGACCCATGTTAAGTATGTAATAGATATTTAAAAAGTTTTATTTTGTGATATTTTTATATGATCAATTTAATTATTTGTATGAACTAAAAAATTATATATGTTTTGTGTAAGATTCTTCTTTAAAAAAATCTTTTCTATATTTTTTAAATTTTATCTATAAAATGATTTTATCAATTACCTTCAATAATTAATAGAGTAGATCACTTTCAATGTTTAATAGAGTAGATAACTTTCATTGCTTTAATACCTTTTTTGCAAATATTCTTCTAAAAAGTTCTTTGCTTACATTTCGATTAGAAAAAGGTTGGTTGAATATTTGAGCTAGCTTTTTGTTGCTGAGCCTAGGATTTTTTCTACTGGTTCTAAATATCCTACTTTTGTCACAGTCACTTAGTGTCAGTGGTCTTCCAGAATGAGGCATAACAACATTACCTGTTCCCAGGTTTTCACTGTTTTTCGCATGCAAAATTCAGAACCACCCATAAGTTAACTAATTTTAATGTTGTTATGATTCTTTGATTTGACCAGTCCAAAAATTTGCCAGTTGATGCTCTCTGACACTGCTTTTCTACCCATTTGCAAGTTTGAAAAAAAAGAAGGAGAAATAACTCTCTTCAAAATAATGATACCTTTGTTTATGGGATTCGGAGGCAACAGATTGTTAAGATTAACAAACAACAATAAAAAAAACCTAAAAATGTTATATACAAACGCAACTAAATACAGTATCTTCCCTAAGGAACTTTTGTCGACCAACTGGACCAGCTGGAAGTGTTCGTAACTATATCCACAATCATAGATATACTTCTGAGACCTGTAGACGCTCAAGTAGAAGAAATTTTTTTTCCAATCATATTATTCCAATTTGGAACAATTTGTCGTTTGATGTCGAACTTACTAAGGCAGTGTTAAACTTTAAAAAAAGTCTTGATGAACTTTATTATGTGAAATAAAATTTCAAATTGTAGTTTTTAAACTTGCTACTAAAGTGGATTACTACTCAGTGAGCAATTGCTCACCGCAGCAATTAAACAAATAAATAAATAAATAAATTTTCTCCACATCAGGTAACTTTAGGTGGACCCATACATGTTCCTTGACCAACACCCAACTTTGCTACTCTTTCTTTTTATGTAGAACTTCCAATAACAACTGACTATCTTCTGTTTGTTAAATATGAAGAGATCCATTTAAAATTTGTTTCAGTTGACTTGATTTTCTTAAACACATTTTGTTCATTTTCTGCTTTTCTTTTGTTTTCGTTTTCATTAGTTTTAACTCTTTACTTGTTGTTTTTTTATGTTTTGTATTAGTTTGTACTAATGTTATTTCTTGTTTTTTATCAATTTGATGCAACGTATTTGTTGCAAACATATTTGATGCAACATATTTGTTGTGTTAAAAGATTTAATTTTTGTTACCTCTTATAATCTTCAGTTTGCACGTAGGGGTTATCCATTAATTACATCAACTAATTAGGGTGTAGGAGGGTCTAAACTTTTTTGACAATTGTTGACAAGGGGAGGGGGGAGGTAAAAATTTCAAAAAAATTGTTGACATAATTAATGGACAGCCCCGTATTACATATTGAAATTGAGGAATCTTTACAAGTAATAGTAAAATAT